TTTTTTTTTTTTTTTTTTTCATACTTTATCTCTCACCCCCTGCGCTTTGGCTTTCCACCCCATAAAATTCGTCTTTCTCGTTATCTATGGCATTACTTCTTTGCCTAATGTATTTTTTTATCGATCCTTGTATTGAATATCAAACCGAACTGATTTTTGGTAGAATAAACGCGAGCGTGTGGTCAATGTTGATACTGTGAAAATCGATTCAGGTCCGCGCGAGGCAATAAAGATGTTTTTGTGTAATACAACGAATATTGAGGTACTCTTGCCAGAATCGTTGCTATTAGTTCGTCGGATTCAAGATGAAAATGTGTGCAAAAAAAGTTTCCATCAAAAGTTGTCGACCTCGTTCATATTTTGCGTTTATATAATCAGAAATTTTTTTTCAACGCTTGCGACTTTATGTAATGCTCCATCTGTTGATGCAATCGATAAACTCATAATGACAGACCTTTGTTTATGTCTGACCGTGTATCATGAAATTGACCAAAGTATATCTAGCTAGTAAAACTGCTTCAAATGGTCACCGAAAACAAACGGTATTCGCTATGATTTACAGTTTCCAAATAAAATATGAAACGAAGCTGCCATGCTGATAGAATTTCTCAACACTATATTCATGATCCAATGACCGGAATAGGTCAGTTTAAAAATTTTTAGAATATATAGACAGTAATTGTTTGACAACTTTTCGGTTACAATTATGTAACAAATATTAAAGGCATTTTAAACGACCCGAAAAAGACTTGATAGTTAGTATGGTTATATATAAAACTACAAGAGGTAACGTGAAAATTATTATAGATAAGTCAAAACAAGGATTGAATATAATGATTTAAAAATTACTTGAAATAAAAATACAAGGTGTATAAATTAAGAAAGAAACTTTTACAACCCCTGATTGTGAAATAAAAAAAAGACGAGGAAAAGGATTGAGGATTAACTAAAGTCTCGAAGAAAAGAAAAAAACCATTATGAAAACTCGTGAGTGTTATTTTGACTGAATGTTTATCATAGCCATCTGCCTTAGAGTAGATGACCTGAGATTTTTGTTTTATTATTCGTAGCAATTGATACAAATAGTTTTAAGGAGCTAAAAGATTAATTTATTACGCGGTGCAAGTATGCAAAAAGGTCAAAAAGTTGAAAAACATTTTTTAAATTCACCCAAAGATAGATTTATGCTAACGTTATACAGTTTTGAAACAAAGATTTGAAACGTAGCTTGCAAAAAATATCAACGATTCTAATCTTTTTCGCAGCTTCACTCCTCAAATAAAATAAAAATCAAATCAAAAATTTCACAGCTGAAATATTATATATTTTTCACTTTTGTACAAAAATTTTTTTCCCTTAAATGTATCTTAAAGTGACCCAAAAATGAATGTAATAGAGCGAATATTTTGAAATGAAATTGAGTAGAAAAACAAATTTGAGAAAACATCTTTTGCACTTTTTTTTAAGCACATTTTGTGAGATTTTAAAAGCTTTTCATAGTTTTGTCGCATTTTGTATGTGTCTATACTTTCTTCAAAACTCAAAGATCTAGATGTCAACTTTCAACCCAAATTGTCATTATTTAAAGAAAATTTAGTCAAAAAAGGCTTTGAAAAAAACGGCTTTTAAAATTAAGTTAAGTTTAAAATATTAAAAAAATTGCCTAGGGGAACGAGTTAAAATTTTTTAAATGAGACAAAATTTTGGGGAAAGATTTTTTTTATACCTCGAAACTTTTGAAAAGGCGTGTCTCGGATGATTTGAAACAATAAATTTTCATATTGTCAGTCTATTGTTTATATTATTCTTTGAGAACATCGACGAGTGAGTCAACGGCTTTTATTTGGTAGTTTCTCGACACTTGTCGAGTCGTTCAGATCGCTGTACGATTTAATTGAGTAAACGTGTCAGGACGATCGCATCGACCGTAGTCAATGATTTTCGTGACCAGTGAAAATATTCTAAATTAATTACTATGTTTCAAGACAACCAAAACAGTTCAAAAGTTCGGCAATTGAAAACCATGCGGGAAAGTGTTGATTGGAATAGAAAAGAAGATCGGGTCACATTTTTTCAAAATTTTTATCCCTTGATCTACGATTGGATCGACGGATTGCCAAATCTCCGAGATATTTTTCAACAAGACGAAATTGAGTTGCTTCTCATGGATTCTATAAGCAACTGGGATCAATTCCCGTATACGTATGGTTTTGTAAAACGACTCGTACAGTTTGTGATTAGCACCGGTTACAAAGACGAGCCCAAACTCGATGAGGAAGGCAAACCAGCGATGGTTCGGCACACACCAGTGCATATAGCAGTTAGAAAACAGGAAGCTCTTTTCATCCCTGATTTGTTTAAAATATACGACAGGTTCGACGTGAATTACGTCGGCGCGCATGGATACACGCATTTTCACGCGGCCTGCTTTGCCGGCTGCTACGACGTCGTCGAAAAATTTCTCGACTTCGGTCAGGATCCCGATTTTCGGGTATCATCGTCGAATTGCTCTCCGCTTTACTTGGCTACGTTTTGTATCAGAGAAAGCGGAAAAAAAGTGATCGAATTACTGCTGAGACGAGGCGCCGATCCAACTTTAGCCAATGCCCAAGGAGCGACTCCACTGCACAATATTGGCTCGAACGTCGACTGCGCGAAGATGATGTTGGAGAGGACGGCGCGGCTGGTCCATGCCCGGGACATATACGGCAAGACCCCGTTGCACTTGGCCACGATAGAAGGATGCGCAGACTTGATCGAATTGCTGCTGAGAAAAGGCGCCGATCCTTATGCAGTCGATCAATATGGAGTGACTCCGCTTCAATTGATTGGCCATAGAGTTGAGTTGCTGGAACTATTCCGCAAGATCAGCGAAGAGAACCAACAGGCCATGGAAGATCGACGTCGTTATTTCGCAAGAGGCGAGAAGAGAAAGAACATCGAAGATTGAAATAGATCGCTACTTTGATCAGAAATTGCAAGAGCTAATTTTTAAATTTTTATGTTATTTTTCGGCTTTTCATGAAGGATGTGTGCCAATAAAAATACATGTATTAATGAGAGGCATTAATATAAATATTATTTAACGTCAAAATTACTATTGAATGAATAACTGATTTAAAATGAAATAAATCATGAATGAACTTCTGTGACTCAATTTTGTGTTTAATTACCATGAGAATAGAAATTATGTTGCATATTTCGACTTCAGTTTGAATAAATGACAAACTAGTAGCTATATTTTTGTTAAAATTCATACAAACGTAATTTAACTAAGGTTTACTTATAATTCAATTCGTTGGGAAAAAAGAGGGACTGCTATGTCCCTGTAATGTTTTACAGATTCAACGTGATTCGATAACAAAGTCGTCGAAGATCACACGCCGCCAGTCAGATGCGCAACATCAATGATGACCTCACGATTAAAAAATGGTCGGTATTTCTGTGACGATTATTAAAGTGCATTTTAAATCAGAATAAAAATGTAATTGTTTTAAAATTTAGAACAATTTTGAGCTACTTCAGATACGAGAATGTCACTTGGAGCATCCATCGCGAGATGGCGACTACCTCAATCTGTAAATCTGCAAGTGGCAAAGTAAGTATAGTTGTATAAGTCGCATGTTCAAAAAATCCTGTTCGATTTCAAGCCTTCTTTCGTCTAGATTCGTTTCACGTAACTCATTATAAACAATTTATAATATTATTTATGTTAAAATAACAGCAAACATGAAAGTTCACTCTGTGAGCGGACGCGCCAGCTTCGACCGATCGGATCCGACGACATCGAGCTACATGAAAAACAAAACTATAAAAATGAGTAAAATAAAGAATTCTTACAAAGTGTGAAATAGACACGCAATTCGAGACATGGATTGAAAGCGAGGTGAAGATGAGGCGATATAAGTTTAGCGGGAAAAACATTAAACCTAGTTATCCGCTAAAAATTGGCAGAAGCTGTCGTCGGGTTCTCACGGACGAGCAGGTACTGACAGGTACTTTCTCTAAAAAAATTATGCAAAATCTCAGGGTATATATTGAGGAACCGCGGAGGCGATTCGAATATTATCTATTACGGTGCGCGGAGCTCTTGTCGGTTTTTAATTAGCATTCCTGATAAACGAATATTAGTGCACAGACTTAGGTTATAACTATTTGATTGTAAATTCAAAGTTGTTCGTGTGTGATAGTGAAGTACAAGAGTGAGTATGCTATCAATATAAGACACCGCAGTTCACCCGAGGGCCCAGCCACTGAACGAGAGCTATCTCCAATCCGAGCCGATACCTACGCCTTTCAAAGTCATCCAATACTTTCTACATCGATCGTCCGCAGCCGTACGTTAAGTAGATTAAGAATAACAACTAAGTTTTATGTAATTAGTACTGCGACGCTGCAAATTGGCCTTATCAAATAAGGTTCAGCTCAAATGCCGTCGACAAGAATTTTATTATGTGGGACCTCTTGTACTCACGCTGATTTCTCCGAGGGGGTTCTGGGCCTTCCGTCGAGTTTGGGCCGAGCTGTTGGCCCCAGTGACTCACCTTTCGAATCGGCCGAGGAAATCTCGATTTTGTCGCGAATTCCGCGAAAATCCTTACAATTCTGCAATATTGCTCTACGTGCTGAAAAGAGGGAGTCTAGGAAATTTACAACAAAAACGAATTAATTATGACTCGCGAGATTCAATTTCAAAAATCTAGTCACTTTATTTCACTTTTAACATTGGCCACCAGGTGCGCTGGTGGCGTTCTTGTTTGCCTTCCGTGGCCGAACCTTTGCTCCGCGGCAATAGGTTATGTCGTGACTCTCTTATACTACTTGGCCAAAATGGCCGTCGCTACGTACGCGTGGTCGAACGAGCTTGGCCGACGCGCGCGTGCTTCGCTCGTCGACCTGTAGCCACGTGGCTAATTCCGCGAGATCGCGTCTACGCCGCGCCGTACACCTGCGTTTATCCTAATTATGCGACGCGGCAGTGTGCCGTCGATTCGCACTCACACGCTGAGCTTGCCGCCGCTGCGGTAATACTCACACGCACACACACACTCTCGATACACGCGCGAGCACGATGACGCAATCGTGCACACGGCCAAGCGACCGACCACCTAAATAATCTTAAAGCTAACCTCTTCGCCGGCTCTTCAGTAGACGATGCCCTGGCAAACTCCTTTGCTGTCGTGGCCTCCGTCGCCTG